TCCTTCAATTCCTCTTCCAGCTGGGACCAGATACAAGCACTGTTATTTACTTCAAACCTCTGGTGTGAAGCCCGAAGGAAATGATTTCCCCCCAAAATGACTCCTCCTTCCCCAGAGCTTCACTAGACTGACGCCGGGGAGCCGGACCCACTTGGGGAAACGTCAGAGTCGCTGAAATCAAAGGCCAGGGGTAGTCTGTTCACAATACACAGCCCAGCGTTGCCACTGGTTTTGGTGCCGGAAGTGAGAGGATGGCGTGCAGTGAGGGCAGCACCATCCGGGTCAGGCCTGGGCCCTGCCTCCTGCGAGCCGTGAAAAGTGGGCAAGTTACTTAAGTTCTCAGTGCCCCGTTTCCTCATTGTAAAAATGGAAAGCACTTTGAAATAACACCTGGCTCTTCATTCAGTAAATACTATTATCATTATTAAAATGGAGAAGATACTTAAGCCCACAGAACTTGCTAAAGATAGAGCTTGCTCAGTGTTATCGGCTGAACTGTGCCCCCTCCCCACCCCATCCATATGCTGAAGTCTAACCTCCGGTATTGAGGAATGTGGTTTTATCTAACGTGTGAAGACAGGGAGGGACAACCACCTACAAGTCTCGGAAGAAACCAGCCTGCCTAGGCCTTGACCTGACTCCCAGCCCCCAGACTTGTGAGAAAATACATGTCTTTGTTCAGGCCGCCCAGTCGGTGGTATTCTGTTAACGGCTGTGCTAGAATCTAACACACCTTGACATACAGCTGCTCATACCAGTACGGTCAGTGTTCTTTATCTTTGCCTAACCCTTCATCTATAAAAAAAAAGATTTCCCAAGTGGCAGCCCTGACCAACTTTAAAATCGTTTTTCATGAGAATTTTCAGCTGAAAATATTCAAGAACACCCTAATTGGGAGCAATATATTTATTTTTATAATATTCATTGCAAAATGACTTTTTAAATTAAATTCAAAATATCGTGGCGTGTGGGGATGGTTTCTGTTTTGGACGCGTGCAGTTAACTGGCCAAGGAGACTGTGAGGTTTGCACCCCCACTCCCTCTCAGCAGTGAGGAACGGAGGGGGTCTAAGGCAGGGGAGCTGGGCGGGAGCACATCCACTTGGTGCAGGAAAACCAGTGCCTCCTTTGTCATCTAAAAAGCAAGACAGGCTCTATATTAGCGCAACCCGTCACTGGCTCCCTCCCCTTGGTTCAGATGTCAAAAGATTACGTCACCTACAGGAAATGAGCTGTGTGGAGGGACAAGGGAAAGGTCTACACTCAGAGCTTGGTGGGCACCCCTACTTGTCCACTCTCTTTCGGCCTATTGAGACAATGCAGCTTAGATATGCAAGGTTAAGGATTATAGACAATCTGGTTTTCACTGAACTGACCCTCACAAAATGGACAAAAAAAAATATAGTATGTTAGGCTTCTTATTTTTTGGGTTGTTTCTTTTTAAATTCTATCCATGTATACCAGAACAGTAATATAAGCATATAATTTAGAAATATAAATTAGATGTGTACACTCAAAATTAGGGCAGGCCATCAGAAAAGCAGAACCAATCCTGACCATTTGCTAAGCTTGTGAAGAAATCCCATTCCCTCCCAGCCTGCTGGGTCGGTGATGGCCTAGAAACAGTACCTACAAGGGATGGGAGTTAGTCTCTCATTTTTTCTTCAACACTCGCATGTCAACAAGGGCTACTTATTTGGCTCTTTACTGACAGTTTTTCTTCCTCCTTCTTGCTTTCAAGCAGAAGTCAGGGGTCACTGAGGACGGGGAGACCTGTCCTTAAACAGCTGTACACACAGTTCTCCCCACTTCTGAGTCCTAGTCTCCGACCTGTAAATGTGACGTTGAACTCAGGACTCCCTGAAGGCCAGCATGCACCTGAGAGCGAGGCTGCTTGAATTTTGTGTCCGCTACGCTTCCTCCTAGTCCCAGCCCCGAGCCCTGAAATGCTCTGAGGGAGCCTGCCTGTGCTCTACCGATCAGAAGAAACGGAATTCAGCATACAGATGTGCACTAAACCCAGGCAATTTTCTAAGAAAACAGCCAGTGTTGGAAGAGAAAATATTACTTGCCTGGCCCAGTATCTATCCTTCCCTCCCTCCTCAGTAACAGAGCCCGAATTCCTCTGTGGCAGCAAGACGGCCGCCCTCACAGAGATGAGGCATATGAGCAGAGATGCCGGGACGAGAGCCTGGGAGAGCCCTTCGAGGGGCTGTCGGGACAGTGCCTTCTGTGTCCCTTCCCCCACATGGCACCCGAAGGGCTGTGGTGGGAGCTCGAGAGCCAACCGGAACCTGAGGATAAGGGCCATGAGCCGGAGAAGCCTGGGACCCACTGACTGTGGAACTGCCACACCTGCCCTGCGCTGCCCCCTCTGGACTTCCTTTACGCCAGAAACTTCTACCTTAACGAAGCCATTTGTTCAGGGTTTTTCTCTTATATGTTCCTGTACAAAAGCCTCACAAATACAGATGGGTCAGTAGTAAGCTAGAGACTTAGTGATGAAGACACTGGTATTAGAAACTCAGTAAAGAGAAAAGGAGACTGGCTCTATAAAGGACAAGCTTTCTTTCCTTTTTTTTTAATCCTCACCCAAGGATATTGTTCCATTTTTAGAGAGAGGGGAAGGCAGGGGGAGAGGCAGAGAGAAACCATCCACAGATGTCTCTCTCACATAACTGGTTGCCTTCCCGACGCTCCCCAACCAGGGCCAGGGATTGAGCTGCAACGGATTGAGAGGTAAGTGCCCTTGACCAGAACTGAACTCAGGACCCTTCAGTCCACAGGCCGACACTCTATGCACTGAGCCAAACCGGCCAGGGCAAGAACATGCTTTCTTCATACTTCATTGTCCTCTAAGGAAAACAGAGCAAAGTGAGGGCAGTACCTCAAACTCTAGGAAAAGCCTCCAGCTCTCCTCCCACTTCTGCACGCCGTCGAAGAGCTCTTTGTGGACCTCATAGTAGTTTCTTAACCGCACCACCTCGGCGTCATGGGCCTGGAGCAGACTTTCCGTGTAGTCCTCTGCAAGACAGAAGCCCGGGAGTTTTAAAAATTCCTCTAGTGTTTAGCCATCTTACTTTAAATCTAACCCATTTCCTAAACTGGAAATAGATTCTTCTTCACTACAGTAAAAACGTTACATGAATAAATATTCATTGTGGATAATAAAAATCTGGTTTTTCACCATCAGCCTGGAGGGCCTAGGGAGTAAGGCCCTAAAGTGTGGACTAAAATGACTAAGACTCGCAACGCTCTGTGTCATCTCTCACCTTCTCTTAGCTTTCTTTCATATCCTTTGTTTCCAACCTGCTCAGTAGAGGGCTGGGTCATGAAAATGTCCCCAGTGTGGAATTTAGTAGACAACTTCATCTTTATACTCAGTTCGGGTCAGACTAGAATTCTGTTGGGCTCTGGGGTCAGACTGTGGCCTTAACTGTGAGCTCTGCCCTCTCCCCGCTGTGCCCCCGGTTCAAGTTGCTCAACATTTATGCACCTGTGTCCTCATCTCTTGACATGAGATTGAGATATTACTGTTAAGAGTTTGACACTGCACCTGGCATAGAGTAAGCAAGCGCTGATAAACTTGAGCTTCACAACTACAGGCTACAGTGATAAGCTGCTTCAGAAATCAAGACATCCCTTATTTCCCAGGCGCATCTGCAAATGCTCACCGATACAGGAATGGCAACTTATGGTGAAAGGCTTGAAAAGGTAGTTACAGCTGGTGAACATCTGCACTTCTTCACAAGTGCAGGCCACATAAAGACCACCGCTCCCGTACTAACCATCATAGTAAGCAGCAAAAGCCTGTCTCTGCTCCTGGCTGTAGAAACACTGGTCCCAGTACTTAGCCAGCTCCACTCGTATCGCCTCAATCACTCTCTTCATGTTTTGCATTTTCAGTTCCTCCAAGCGATCCACTTCTAATTGCAGCTGAAACACAGACATCTGGTAAAGGTGCTTGTTATACTTTTACACTCACAGCGCCTTGCAAAATTTTTCCATTTTTATTTATTTATTTTTGTTAATCCCCACCCAAGGACATATATATTTTTAATATATTTTTATTGATTTCAGAGAGAGAGGGAGAGAAAGACAGAAACATCAATGATGAGAATCACTAACTGGCTGCCTCCTGCATGCCCCCTACTGGGGATCAGAAACACATCAATTGGTTGCCTCCTGCACAAGCGCCGATGAGGGCCCAGGCAGGTGAAGAGCCTGCAACCAAGGTATGTGCCCTTGACCAGAATCGAACTGGGACCCTTTGATCCACAGGCCAACACTCTATCTACTGAGCCAAACCGGCGAGGGCAAAAATTTTCCCTTTTTAAATAAAACTACAGCACAAAATCACAGAGGTAGGTTGACACTCTAACAATACTGTCAAAGGAGCCAGAAACCTAAGAAAGGTACAGGAAAGATAAGAGATGAGTGGGTTACTGCCACGTTTTTCTGATGCTTGCTTTAAAATACACTTGCTTGTCCTGGCCGGTGTGTTTAGTGGTTAGAGTTGGCCGGTGCACTGAAGGGTCTCAGGTCAAGGGCAGGTACCTCAGTTGCTGGTTTGAACCCCAGTCTGTCAGGGCACATGTGGAAGGCAACTAATTCATGTGTCTCTCTCACATCGTTGTTTCTGGAGAGTGAAAGGGAGAAGGAAAGACAAGAGAAACACATGAACTGGTTGCCTCCTGCACGATCCCCGATGAGGGCCCGCGTCTGTCAGGGCACATGTGGAAGGCAACTAATTCATGTGTCTCTCTCACATCGTTGTTTCTCTTCCTCCCTTCTACTCTCTCTAAAAATCAATGGCAAAAATATCCTCGGGTGAGGATTAACAACAACAAAAAACTTGTTCAAGGCAGAAGTTGGTAAAGACATGGGATCAGACATAAAATGCCAGTAGAGACTACTGACCCAGCACCCTATGGGTTTCCTACCGCTTTCTTAACTTTGGCCTTCGACCCAGTCATAACCATGGCCACAGCTTCTCGCTCTTCTTCTGGGATTTGCAGCCTGTCCCAGAGCTCCCGGATCTGAGCACGCAGCCCCTCGCACACGGCTTCGTTTTGTGACTTCCGCATTTCCAGCTGCGGCAAGGAAAGACAGTGGTCACGGCAAAGGCAGCAGCAGAGGCTAGCCCTCTGGCTTCCCACAGTGTCTGGACCCGATACAGAATAGGCCCCATTACAGGATTGTGAAGAGGTGTGTTTTCATGACTTCTGAACACAAACTATAAGTCTGTCATTTACAGCAGGATCTCAGACCCTAAGAATTAGGATTCAAATTTTGAAATAAAAAAATTATTTTTCAGGTGGAGGAGGGCAATGGGGGGAAAAAAGAGGAATATCTATAATAATCTCAATAATAAAGGTTTAAAAATTTTTTTTCAATTAAACACTAATTCAATGACTTATTTCATCCATAATTTCAATTTCATGTTCTTAGAGCTACATATAAATTGAGTTTTTTGTTTAAAAAAATCATGGTTGTATATCATATACTATCTTTATCCTCCCTCCCTCATTCTCTTAACCTACATTGGGTCCTTATATAACACTGCCGGGGGGGGAAAACTGTCACTTTTTTCAAATTGCTGGATACTACGGAGATGAGATCCCAGGCCATGTTCCGAATAGACATTACCTGCTGTAGCAACTTCTGTAGTGCGGCAATATTTTCCAAAGATAAACAAAAGGCCTCTTCATCTTCACACACCACATCTCGCTCGAAGCTCGTGTCTGGGGTGTGATCTAATTCTTCCATGCACAGTATGATCTGTCTTTTTATGCTGACAAACTCCTCACGCCGAGAGGCCTGTAAAATCAAATGATTAGAAGATACCCACGGAAAGTCAAGCTGACCTTTAGGAAGCATGGTGCACGGAGTATACCTTTGTTTCCCGCAAAGTTGCCAAATGTTTTCTGAACTGGTTCAGCTCTTCCAGGCTGGGAACAGAGTCGCTGTCGATGTCATAGTGCGGCACGCAAAGGACTTCACACAGCTCTTGATCCTGTTCCGTAAGGAGTTTCAGTTCACGTTTCCTCTCCTTTTTCTGTTTGCGCATCAGCTCCACCTGAGTGCGCAAGTCCTTTTCCAGCTGCAAGATGGTCGGCTCTCCTTCCTCCTGAAGAGAGGATATACCGTTGTTACAGGGTTCCAAGTGGATTTCCCACGAGACTTACCATCAGGGGAGCAATGCGCAGCGTCTTGTCCGGGCCAACCCCTTCAGCCTGTCTCCAAGGCCCCCCCTCCTCTGACTTCCCAAAACAGCTCCCACGAGACTCTCCTATCTCTTCTACCCTAAGCCCTTCCTTGTTTCGCTGTCCTCAGCTTTAATAAACAAACTCTCAAAAAAATACATTAGCTGCTTCACCTCTCAACAGGGCAACTCTTTACGTCAGTAAAATGACTGCTGGATCTGGTTGGCTAGGCAGCACATTTCCCCCACTTCCCGTGTCCAGGACCACCCTGACACAGACATCCTCCACTCAGCCCCGAGGCAAAGCTCCTGCCTCAATCTCAGACCCAAACAGGAGCCCAGACCGTGTACCTGAAATGGCTCAACACGCAACTCGCTGCACAAGACAGCCAACTCTTTTTGACAGTTGCCTATGCTTTTAATGAGCCTTTCCTTCAGGCTTTCCTCTTCAGCAATCATCATATCCAGGAGGTCCTACCGGAGAGAAAACAGCCCCATAAAAGTTTGGAACTAAGGGGGGAAAACACCCCAAATAACAAATAACACCAATAATTTCAAAATTTTAATACCCAGGTCCTCCTGCAAAGACACAGCACTAAACTCACCTTGATATGCTTGTGCACAACCTGAGTCCTTTGTAGCCGCTGGTCCTCGGGAATCCCAATCAGTTCCCATATTTCCCGAAGGTGCGTCAGGGCTTTCTGGAGACATAATATGGACTCCTCTGCAATCACCTCACTGGAAAGCAAAAGAGAAATCAGCTGCATGAGCCACTGCCTCCGACACAGTAAGAGAAGTATTTACAGCCCTGGCTGGTAGCTCAGTGGTTAGAGCACTGCACCGCAGACCAAAGAGCCTCGGGTTCGATTCCCCGTCAAGGTATATACCTCGGCTGAAGGCTCGATCCCTGGCCCTGGTCAGGGTGTGAAAGGAAGGCAACCAATCAATGTTTATCTTTCACATCAATGTCTGTCTCTCTCGGAAAAAAAAAAAGCACACACAAAAAAAACTGTGCTGCACTAGACATTGAGGTGTGGAGCAAGCATGTCAAACTCACAGCCCGTGTGCCTCACTTATTTGGCCCATGCTAGCCTTTGAGTTTGACATGCCTAGTGTAGAGGACCTACCTAATACATAGTCACAAACCCAACAGAAAGCCAAAATGAGGAGACAAAGAAACAACCCCCAAATGAAAGAAAAAGAGAATTCTCCAGAAAAAGAGATAAATGAAGCAGAAGTAAGAAATTTATCTGAAACAAAGTTCAGAATAATGATGGTAAAAATGCTTAACAGCATGAGAAAAGATATAGCAACTATGAAAACAGAAATAAAGAATTACATAACACAAATAAAGGACACATTGGAAGGAATACACAGCAGATTAGGGGAAGCTGAATATTGAATCAGTAAATTAGAAGAAATTAGAAGACAGAGTTGAAAATATCATTCAATTAGAGAACCAAAAAGAAAAAAAAACAATCACACACGACCCCCACACAGATACTGACTCCTTCCTGAATACCTTGCTGATCCCCCCTGCAGCTGAAACTTCCTCAACTGAATTCCTCAGCTCATGTGCCTGCCCCTCACCCAACCGCAGTATAAAAAAAGCGCCCCCTCCCTGTTGGCGTGAATCCACGTGCCCTGTCCTTGGGGTACCTGGGTCTCCCGTGGACGCAGAAATAAACCTTTTCCTTTCCTTTCTTTTCTGATTCACTGGACTCTCTATTTCTTGCGCCACCTAACCTAACAACTTTGAAAAAAGAACATTCTGAGATAAAGAATGACGTTACACAAATAAAGAACACATTGGGATGAATATTCAGCAGATTAGGGGAAGCTGAGGATCGAATTAGTGAATTAGAAGAGTTGAAATATCACTCAATCAGAGAGCCAAAAAGAAAAGAAAAAACAATTAAAAAACGACAGCTTAAGGGAGCTATGGGACAATGTGAAACGTAACAATATTAGAAGAGCAGGTGTGCCAGAAGAGGCAGAAAGGGAAAAAGGCATAGGGAAGGTGTTTGAAGAAATAATGGCAGAAAACGCCCCTAAAGGAAAAAGTCACATAAGTGTAGGAGAACCCCAAACAAGGAGAATTCAAACAGGCCCATGTCCAGACACATCATAATTAAAATGCCAAAAATTAAAGACAAAGAGAGAATCTTAAAGGCAGCAAGAGAAAAGAAAACTGTTAACTACAAAGGACTTCCCATAAGGCTGACACCTGATTTCTCATGAGAAACTCTACAGGCCAGAAGGGAATGGCATGAAGTACTCAACGTAATGGAAAGCAAGGATCTGAGACCAAGATTACTATATCCCGATGCTGTCGACAAGAGACCCACTTCAGAGCAAAAGACACACACAGGATGAGAGTGAAGAGATAGGAAAACTTTTTCCATGCAAATGGAAAAGAAAAAAAGCTGGAGTGGCAATACTCATATCTGACAAAATAGACTTTAAAATGAAGACCATCACAGGAGACAACAAAGGTCACTACGTAATACTGAAGGGACCGATCTAACAAGAGGATAGAACCTTGGTAAACATATATGCACCCACTACAGGAGCACCTAAATATAAAAAAAACTTGTAGAGGACTTTAACGGAGAGATCCACAACAATGCAGTCAAGGGGACTTTAACACCCCTCTGACCTCACTGGATAGATCTTCCAAACAAAAACTTAACAGACTCTAAAGGACACACTGATCAGATGGGCTTAACTGACATTTATAGAACATTTCACCCCAACGCAGAATATACATTCTTCCTTAGTGCACATGGATCATTCACAAAGACTACATGTTAGGACACGAAACAAGTCTCTACAAGTTCAAGAAGATTGAAATCATATCAAGCATCTTTTCAGATCACAGTGGCATAAAACTGGAAATCAACTACAATAAAAACAATCCAAAAAAATCTAACACAAGGAGACTAAATAGCACGCTATTAAACAATGACTGGGTTACCAGAGAGATCAAAGAAGAAATAAAAAACATCATGGCAAAAAACGACAATGAAAACACAACAATACAAAACCTATGGGACACAGCAAAAGCAGTCTTGAAAGGGAAGTTCATAGCTCTACAAGCCTACTGCAAGAAACAAGAAAAATGAGCAATAAATGACCTAACTCTACAACTCGAAGAGTTAGAAAGAGAGCAACAACA